AAAAAAAAAAAACCAAAAAAAAAACAAAAAAAACAAAAAAACAAAAAAATAAAAAACAAAGCGAAAAAAGAAAGTAAAAGAAAATGCTTGGGAAGTATGTTGGTCTTGGAGTTAGTGGGAGGAGCCGGTTGGTGACAACTGAATGAGTTTGTTGATACAGTTGGGTGAATGAGTTGAGTTGATATATTTTGAGTCACTTAGCCTATATTTTTCCTACCCGGTCCAAAGAGCCTACGTTACAACCCTTTAAGACCTCTTGATTCACTCTTTTATGAATTTGATTGTTTTAGAATAAGAGTTAGACGATAGGCAAATCTATGATTGACTTGATTGATGACCAATTTGAGTGCACCTTTCTTGTATTTTGCGAAGAAACTGAGTGAGGCATATACATACTTGTACTCGAGAGTCTTTGTTCTTCGAAATAGCTGGGTTGATAATTGAGGTGTGTTCTCGTGATCATTGGAATTCTTCTCAGTTCAATTGATGTGTTTGAGATTAGTCTTGCTTGAACCGTTGTCTTTGCTCATTTATTTCTTCTCTTTTCTTTTATTTTCTTTTCTTTTTGTTCGGGACGAACAAAGGTTTTAGTGTGGGGGAGTTGTTTGTCCCATTTTTATGTCTTTATTTTGGTTTTATTTTCCTTTTATTTTCCCCATTTATAGGATTTTCGTGGTTTATTTGGTCCAATTCTGTGTTTTTGTGTTTTTCTCTTTAGTTTCGTTTTGTGTGTCTTTTTACTGTGTTTTGCTTCGTGTTTTTCTGTGTTTGTGTTTTCAGGAGATAGGTTGTGTCGGTCGAGGACGAGACCGTGATGCCAAGAATACCCGTCGTGGAGCTCCGAAAGCTGAAGGAAGGACTAGAAAAATGAACTGAAGACTGCCCAGAATTTCTCACGGCTCGCAAGTGGAGTCGCGACTCGCGAGATGGTCGCGACTCACGAGAAGGTCACGACTTGCGAGTTCAACAGAGGCTAGAGATGGAGTCGCGACTCGCGAGACATGTCGAGACTTTCCCCAGATTTTGAAGATTTTTGCCGACGCGCGACTCGTGAGATGTCACGACTCGCGACCTGAGAAAAGTGGAAGTCACGACTCGCGACTTACTCGGCGCGAATTTTGAGGTCGGGATTTTTACATCAGAATTTAGACCTAGGGATGATTATTCAACTCCCAGACTTCGTTTTTACACTTTTCCTCTCTAAAAACTCATTCCTTTTCATACTTTTGCTCTTTTGATTGGATTTTGGAGATTGAAACTCTATTTTCTTGCTTTGGATTTGGATGCTTGTGGATTTGACATTGACCTATTTAAATTAATCGTATAAGTTCTTCTTTTCTCAATTGTGTGTTGATGATGATGGCTTGGGCTAATATGAATGTTGATGTTAAATTCCATATGAGTAGCTAAATCTATACGCTAGGGATAAGGGATGATTGATTAAGTTCAATAACAATTGCTTGTTCTTAATTGCTCATATCTATGCGAGTTGTGCTTGTCCTAGGGTTAGTAGATTGATCACCTTTCTAACCTAATAATTCAACGTGTAGAACCGAGAGGGGAGACGTTGGTCGATATAGGCTCGTCTAGAGTAGACTTGTTCGTAGCTGTATTGTCTATGCGTTGCTGGAACTGATAGTTGATCATTTACATTCATTCTCTTGTTCGTAATTGTATTGAGAGTGAACCTCTGAACGAGAGACAATTCAAGGTCTTTAACCGAGCAATTGATTGCCCGGTAGTTGTGTTAGAACCAAAAGCAATTATCCCCGATTCCCTAGCTCTTTAATCATTTGAGTTAATTCACTTGCTATTTAAATTGCTTTTCAATTATTTTATAGTCATTAGCTATAATTGAAACCAAAACCATTGAAATAGAGTATTTAGGATTTTCTCTTTTTCGTGATCGAATAATCGTACAATTGAATCTGGCTAACCTTCCTTGCGAGACGACCCGGGGAACGAATTTTTCGATTCTACTCCGGTAAAAATACTCACAACATACAACAACACATAATGGCTAATCAAACACCCGAGAAAAATTCAATAGCAAATTATAAACATTTAACACAACTATTAAACCAACATTCAAGATTTTCTAAACAATACTCAATTAACCAAATATATATCTCTTAAACATTCATAAACAACAAAAAAATTATATTACATTACATTAAGATAACAACTAACCTCTTCTCCGGCGATTGTTTGAAAATTTATTTTTATTTTTTTTAGTTGAGCTTGAATTCACACTCAAAACCGAACAACAGAGAAAAAAAAAATAAATTGGTTTTGAAGATAAGAAACTGTTGTCTGTGGTCGGGGGAGAATTTTGCAGCTTTTTATATCAAGAGAAAAACGAATTTCGGAAATCCGTTTTAAATTTTTTTTATTTAAAACGGATTGTGAAAATCTGTGTTATAAATTAGATTTTATTCTTATTAAATTCGACCGTTTTGTTTAAAAAAATTAATAAAAAATAAAGAGAGATTATGGAAATCCGTTTTTGTAATAAAATTTTTATTAGATAAATGGATTTCCATAATCTATCTATTTGATTGATGTCCATAACATTTTTTTTTTTTTTGTTTTTGACCACATAATTTCTTTTAATAAAATAAATCACTCCAATGTTTTTGGATCTGAAGTTTCTGTAATTTTTTTTAGATCTGAATGTCCTCTATACTATAAAAACTAAAATTTTAAATTGGTAATTCAAAAAATTTCAGCATTTAAATTTATGTCAAAATAAGAAATGAAACTGAAGGGTGCGTTAAGCGAATGGTCGGCCTAATTGATATTTTATGCGACCGAAATTAATAATTTTGAATTGAATTGATAGTTGATATTTTATGTTACTTAATTATTTTTTACTAAATACATGTTTTTTTTTTCTTTAATTATTCATAAATAAAATAGAAATAAGAAAACCGTTTATCCTTGGTGAGCAAGCAAAATCAGGCACTATAAATATTGCCCTTCCAACGCTCAATCTCTTCTCTCTCTCTCTCTCTCTCT